TTCCGCTTCCAGAGTCCTTGAATCGGTTCCAAGTTCTCCGGCACTGACCATGTACAGAGGCCGTTTTAGCAACTCGGCGATACCTTCGGCAGTCAGGGTCTTGCCTGTGCCGGGTGGTCCATGGAGCACCGCGACAAGTCCTTTGCCCTTACCCTGAATGACATCGTCGATGTTCTCCGCGGCGCGGAAAGTGTGCGACTCCACAAGGGCCTTGACAATCGACTTCTGGTTGTCCGGAAGGACAAGAGAGTCAAACGCGTCCTCGTTCCAGTCGATGTCGCTGATTCCAGAGATGCTGAATTCCAGCCACAACTTCTCACTGAAGGCAAACCCCAGAACGACAGGGCTTGCAATGAGCAATTCCTCTTCTGTGAACTCACGGTCAGAGGGGTCCTGCACTTCGTCCATCTTCTCTTTTTGGATCACATTCCCATTCTCATCGAGCTCCACTTCCACGACACGAGGTCTGCCGTCTTTGTCTTGTACGACCTTGTACACAATTTTGGGGTTATCAGAATCTCGACTGTCGTGTTGTTGCTGATCAACATCCGAATCAGACATCCCGCATTTGCATCCGTCGTCGCTCGCATCGTCATCTGATGCATCTAGAATATCAGGGTCCTTGGGACGAACAGTACTGATTGGATAGTTGGGGTTGATGCGGCGATGGATCGCGGGGTCGATCATGACTCGGCCATTGATGTTGACTTTGATGACTGTCCGCTTTTTCTTGTAGAAGGCCATTCCCTTGTGGAAGCGGTAATTCATACCCCCAAGCGCTACAAATTTCTTGCCGCGCTCGATCAGCTTGGTCTTGACCTCCTCAGCCTCCCTGTGGTACTTGAGAGGATAGCAACCGAGGCTCGTGATTTTGCGAACGCCCTTGAAGAATTCCACATCAGCGGCCATTGTTCCCATGCCGAACGACTTGCCGTCGTACTCCAAGTAGCGACCTTCAATGCTGTACCATTGACCTTTCATGAAAGAGGATTCCTTGGTGGCGTATTCAATTTTGAAGGCACGTGGCTCGTCCTGGTTGCCGTAAGTCGATGTATAGGCGATGGTGTTCGGCTTGTATAGTGCCCACAGCAGATCGAAGGTGATCATGTTCGCTTCCAGCAAAGGATACAGAGTCTTTTTCGTCTCTGCGTAGTCAGTGTCCAGATACTTGATGAGAACCTTGAGTTGGGCTGCTTTGAGATCCGCCAGCTTCCTGGCCTTTTTCTTCGTTTCTTTCTTGGCCTGCTGCTTCAGCTCCTTCATGTATGCGCGGGTCTCCTCGAGATACAGGAAAAGCATATTTGGATCGACAACGGCAGTTTCCTGTACCAAGCTCACACCCTTGACACCGTCCATGATCTTAGCCAGAGCGTCCCGCAGGTGTTTGCTCTTGATATCGACGACAGTTTCCATGTACTTGTTCTCCCAGTCAAACTTGCGCCGAACCGTGAAAATATACTGATCCCATTCGTTCGCACCGATATCATCAACAGTCTCGGTGAGCTTGTAATTATGAATCGTATTATCCCACACTATGAGGGAAGAAGATGTCAGCACATGTCGCCCCTCAAACACGGGGACACTCACATTGATCAACCCGCTTGAAGGCCATTTTGGAAGCAGCTTTCAATTTGTGCTTAGACTTCTGCGTGTTGCCCTTTTGACCATCTGTCAGTCCGTCGGCCGCGTGTCTCTTTCCGCGAGCTCTGCCCCAACGTCCATCGCCTAGTTTGCGTCCGTCGCCAAGCTTGAGACTCAGAGCCGCCATTTCTTTTGCCAGTAGCAAAGCCAATTCTTCCGAATTGGCTTCAACATCTTCTTCCTGTTGATCCTCGGAGGAATCTCCCTTGGATCGAAGCTTCTTTGCCGATCTCTTTGCCTGGAGCCTAGTCAAAAGCCTCCTCAGCGTTTTCTCATCTAGGGGGTCGTCATCTTCGTCATTATCATCGCTGGTAGAGTCGGTATCCGAAGCCACTTGCTGGCGGGACCGAGACTTCCTCTTCCGGTTACCCTTAAGGACCTTCTTGGCTTTGTTCTTTGACCGGTTTCTTCGGTTCTTTCGAGATGTCTCTGATTCACATGAACTGGACGTCTCGTCATCCTCCGAGCCAGAATCGCTGACACCGTGGCTGCCAGAGGACGAAGTTGACTCCGAGGTCGTATCCTCGTCGGGCGTTGAGATCGATTTATGGCTCTTTTTCTTGGAATCACGTTTTCGACCAGCGGCGTCCGACTCTTTTCCTGAATGTTTCTTGCATGCGATTTTGACGGTAGCATTTTCCGTTACAGACACAGATGGCTTTGCCTCTGTCTTGACTCCATTATTGTCGATGGAAGGCTCTACCTCATGCTTGGTATCCAATGCAGCATTACTGTTGGCATTGGGATCGGCCATTGTAGCGGACTGCTTAGCTTGGGCCTCTTTAATTTGGGGCGGGTTCCGCAGTGGAGCTTCGGACGGCGGCGTGGTCGAGTGGGTGAGCGGGCCGGAGCTTGGATCAGTCGGGGTGTCGGGCACTGAGATCAATGACGGGGAGCTTGTGGAGCTAGGGACAACACTGGGGTCAGTTGACATTATAGATCAAATCGTAAAGCAGTTGCTATCTGCCTATCAGCACGATCGAAGAAGAAAAGGGAAGAGCTTCAAACTGAAAGTAAAGAAGCAAGAAGGAAAGCGATCCAGAAGGGAATAGCGACCTACAAATACTTTAAAGAAAAGAACGTATCCGTGACGTTCGCCAGGAAATAAAGACGAATGCCCTTAGGACACGGAGCGCCTTGCGTCCTTGGGCTCTTAAAGATTGGCTGACAGGGACAGAAAGGAGCTTTCAGCTTTGTGGCGGTGAGAATGAGTGGTCCTTATGGCTTCAGGACGGGTTGATATAGGCTAGCTACGCGAAGCTGTCCTGAAGTGTGAGTTGGAAGTAACAAAGCAGCTTCAAGACAAGGCGGAACCGGACTTGGAGCTGGATGATGAGTGAAAGAAACTAAATAAGGAGAAGATACAGCCAATACAAAGAGCTCTAGAGACAATGTCCAGACAGCAGATGACCGGACGATCATCTGAAAAAGAAGCCAAAGAAAAGGCGAAGTGAAATGAATATCAGGTACCTCTCTAGGTATCTACTTTGTACCTGAACTGCTGGCGATGACTGGGAGTGGGTGCCTGTTGAGCCTAGGTAGGGGCCTGGGGCCTGCAGCCTTTTCCTCTAGGCTGATCCCGGCCCTGTCACTGACTCACTGCACTCACTGCGAGGCCTTCAGAAATGGACCAGTTGTCAACATCATCTTCCTTCAGCCCCACGGAATCATTGCAGAAGAAATGCACTTGATTTGTCCCGATTCCAAGGGAGAGTGAGAGCGAAATCTTATGGACTCATTCTTAGTGGATAGTCCTCCAACAAGCTAGTCTCGTGGACCCGTAATCGAGCAAACTATAGAAATCGAGCTCGCTGACCAAATGACTTCCTATCAAGAAACGAAGCGCTTGCTGCCTGTCTACCTGCCTAATCGCCTCTCCATCGCACCATATCAATGCGCCTCGAAGACATGCCTCATCAGTCATCACCGACTTTTTCTCATTGGCTCTAAGCGACCCAACGGTATCCATTATCCCGGTAGCGTGGGAGAGAACAGCATGGACAACGAGGCGAAAGAACTAGACCATCTGCAGCTGTCGATCCTTGGGTTACACAAGGGCTCGATTTCGTGGGTCTTGATTTTTGGGAGTTGAGTCTAGGAAAGACCATGCAAGCGGCTACGTAGTCCATATGAAACGAAGACTACAGGTGGATTCCACCCAGACTGTCATGCCATGTACAGTAAGTAGGCTGCACGAGTAGGCCGGAGCTGGTAGTGGGATTGGGTCCTCGTGATGGTACTTTTGCTCACTTAGGGTAGACCCATCCTCGCCCCGTCCATACTGCATTGCCGCAGATTTTTGTGCTCCAGTACCAAAGAGAATAGGTGGTATGTGATTTCGCACCCACCTTCTTATTTACCAGTGGACGAGTGGGGATAGATGATCAAAATATAAATGATGAGTTTGGGCCATCGCAATCATATTATGGGACCTTTCCCGAATGTCAAAAGCTGCAGCCTCACTTTGAACTGAGATGATCGTCACCGAATCGAAACAAGGAATCCTCGACGGGCAAACTGAAAATCGACCAGGATTATTCAACTGTACAGTCGCCAAGATTATTCGTAGACTACTTGACGCATTTCCGGCTTGCTGTAAGGTCACAGAATGTGATAGCTGTGTTTTGGCGGTTCCAGGATCAGCGCCATGGCAGTTTCAACGAACGAGATGAGAGAGAATTCGTGTTCTAAATAAATTGCAGGAAGCAAGTAATTAGAGTCAGATAGAAAGGCAAAACAGACCTTGGATCGCGAATCACTTAGGGTACATAGTCAACTGGTATGAGGTGCATTTTACCGAGAGTCAACATACACTGATACCCAACAATATGTTGACAAACTGGGAGTCTTGAAGATTGCTTCTTCAGGAGACGTTTCTTGGCTGCCGACCATCTGTTGGTCTAGAGCCTGGTAAGACCGCCAATGTACACAATGTGGAAAAGAAGCCTCAAAGTTGCCAAAATGGGAATGATCTTAATTTGACTAAGTAATTCTGTATATGGCATCTTCTGTGCTGTCTAGACAGTATGGCTTATTGAACCACAAGGCTCACTGAGAACAAATTCAGGAAACACATTGTGCACAGATGAGACCCTCAGCATTTAGGTTGATTGACGAACACAGAATTCTCTCACACTTGCCAGAGTTTCACATGGTCCAGTGAATGAAATCAACATAGACATAGAGAGACCAAGTGTTATACTCCCACTGCCCTGAAACTCACATAATTCCTAACCTCCACCCTGTTCTTCTCTTCACATCCATCCTCATTCTCACTTCTCAATCCACCCACCTACCCTCCACAGGCACAGGTCTCTGGTTGGGACTCCTCTATCAATAGGAAATCAGTCCTCCAAAGAATGAACCTCGACACATCCTTCCACGTCGACCCCACGGGACCGATCCTCAGAGTTTCTTCCTTCACCCCCATCAACACCGAAATGGACGTTGCCGAGATCGAGGTCGAGAACGACAAGTCAAACAACGTGCTTCCTGGAGCCGCAGAGGTAAGCAGCACAGCCCCCTTCTAAAGATGCAGCAGCCTAACACCACACAGGAACCACAGCCAACCTCGACCCCAGCAACCACGACACCTCGCAAGCGAGGGCGGAAGAAGGCCGTAGACGGCGCAGACGCAGACACAGACAGCACCGAGACCCCAACCAAGAAGGGAAAGACTTCGCCCAAGAAAACCTTGGGTCCTATTCCGGCCTCTTTGGAATCAGCCGGGTTGGCCGACAAGATGGTTCTGCGGATGAGAGACGAGGAAGGCCGTAGCTGGTCTGAGATCACCAATGCCTGGACGAGAATGACCGGTATCAAGGTTGAAGGGAGCACGCTGCGGAAGCGCTACACGGCCATGAAGGCGAACTTCGTCTCCATCAGCGCAGAAGATGTAAGTGACCTATCCAGCCTGAGCTTGATTTTGTGTCCTGTGGACAGGAGACTGAATGAGGATGTGCTTGTCTGCCTTTAGGAAGTCAGGATTGTCAAGGTGAAGAAAGAAGTAGAGGAGAAGTTCGAGCAGGAAAAATGGCATAAGATCGCCGAGGGTGTTGCTGCCGATGGAGGAAGCAATTACCCTGCGAATGCGATCCAGAGGAAGTTCAAAGAGCTGAACAAGAGGGCTCAAGCTGCAGCTGCAGTTGAGACTGAGGACTGAGAAATCGCTCTCGTGTATGGAAAGCAAGATTATCCAGGACTGCGAAGCGCGGCTTTTCTTTTCAGTTAATTCCGCCGAGGGAGGCCCAAAGGTGGTCATGGGCGTACAGATACGGAGAATGGAGTTGACCTTGGAATTTCGTGGATCTCGGTAGCCAGAGACAAGAATCAAAGAACAGGCAGATGAAATTCATCTTGGTAGTCCGAGGCCCAGCTCAATGTGACACCATATACACCAGATACCCCAGGCATTAATCATCCAACCAAGAAGTAACTATCTATTTTATGCTAGAGAAAGTCAAAAAGGATCAAGGTAGCCAGGCCAATCACAAGTAAGAAAATGAGCTGCAAAAAGTTTGATGCCCCTCCAGAGTCTTACAGGACGCTCACTTGCTGGCGCCCATCATGCATTTGCCAGCCTAGATCGCTATTCCTTGGATCATTCGTAGATTCATCACTGTTCGTGTGTGTCGTTATGCTGGGTCGAATCTTTGCTCCGACAAACCCGCGTCGGTCCCGCCCTGTCCGCCCACGTCCGAGCCAGTTGTGTTTCAGTGCTTTGCTCAGCGTTTCAATCTTCTCTTGCGCTTCATCACCTGTTTGCACACTAGCGAGCACACTGAGGCATTGTAGCATCCGCCCGACCGTCTCAGTAATGAGTTGGGAAGTATCTGCCGTATGTGAGGCCCTGTGAATGACGGTCGCGCGTTGATTTGGAGATGAGAAGGACTGGAAAATAAGTTGATCCGGATTGGACGAGGTGTTTGAAGCAGCACGGCTGCGATTGCTCATCGAGTCTGAGGAGTAACTGCCCGCCGCATTGAGGAGTGTAGATGATTGAGAATTGTAGCTGCCAAAGCCAGCATCGAGAGAGGCGGCAGTGGCAGGTCGGCCGCTATTGCTACTGCTCTTTGTTGTAACGCTGAGAGCCGACGAGCCCACATTGATGCTATCAAGGCTCAAGCGAGAAAATGTAGCTTTCAAGCCTTCATAGCGTTTTAGAATGACCATATCACGGAAAGCCACCATGACCAGATGTCGAACTTCGAGCTCATTTTCAAAGTCCTTGCCCGTCGGTACGGAGTTCCAGAAATCCTTTGCTTCCCGTAGATTCATCACTGAACCAGCGCCTCGAAACTCTAGATCGAGAGGCAAAAATACAGCCTGTATAAATGGAAGAATGGTGCCAAAAACCAGTAGCCAGATCTGTACCAAATGAGGGACCAGTTTCTCGTCAGGCACTCCGTTCAGCGTATGATTTAACGAGGCACATCCTGTCTCAAGTAACTCTCGTAAATCGTCGACAATGGCGGTTGGCGTGCGCTTCTGCACGCAGCGTTGAATGTGGATAAGGACCAACTTGTTTAGGTCCTCAATTGCTATGCGAACGTCCTCACCATCAAATATAACCAACAGCTTCGCCTTCAGGAAATCCCAGGCATCATCCGGAGTCATATTGTGGAGTCCGAACCCCGACAAAGTCTCCCGAAGGGCAGCCTCGGGCAAGATTCCTGTCGAGTTTCCAAGGGACGACGGTCCCGAAAAGACAGCTGGCGTAACGCCACTAACCACCAAGTCTTGCTCTATTTCCTCCCTCAGCTTCTCCTCCTTCTTCTTTTCTCGAAGCGCTCGACCACCGTGCAAGAGGTCCAACCCGCCAACAGTTTTGCTGAATGTAGTCGACACTGCGTTAGGAGACGCCGGCGTAAAGGAATAAAGAGACTGTGGTGCGTTGGGGTCAGAAGGTTTGGAATTGCTAGACGCCGAAGACAGAGGAAGGTTGTAATGATCGTCCCTGTCCTTCAGTTTGAGTTTCTGCCTCGACAGGAAATGATGCTTGTGGGCTTTGTCCTTGTCCTTGTCCTTGTCCTTATCCTTCTCGCTGGATATCTGCCTGTCCGCTGGTACTACCGTACTAACTGATGCATTCGATAAGCTATACATCGACGAGTTATTTGAGGGTAGCGTATCTGTCGAGCCGCTGACGATGCGTGATAACCCACTCGAACCCGGAAAGCCCATCTTGCTTGGTGATGGTATACCCTTATCTTTCCCGTAAGAATCCTTGTCGCGACTGATTCCAATATGCTTCGGCTTCGAAAACAGCTTCATCTTCGGCTTATCGCCCTTCTGCTTCTGCTCACGCTCTGGCTGCGCCTGATCACCAGGCATCCCAGGTTGAAGCGCAGGTCCCCGTGGAAACACCACGTTGGCAGCTGTTGTAGCCGCAAAGGCATTTCCGCCAACAACCCCATTCTGATATGATTGCCCCGAGGTAGCTCCGGAGCCAGGGGCTGCCAGCACTGGCTGTGGTGGTGGTGGAGGTGGCGAGATGCTTCCACCCCTTCGGGCCTTGGCTCCGTCATCGGGGCCATGAATGTTGGTTGGCAATCGTTTCGACGGGTGTTGCACAGCGGAGGACTGCTGCTGCATCGCAGTCTGCGCTGCGATTCTTGATGCGGAAAGTGTGACATCTGATAGGGACGCTGTCGGGAGGGATGGCTCGAAGAAGCCTTGCGAGTGGTGTCGTGGCCGATGCCTCGACAGATCGGGCGGGACGACGCGACCGGAAGTCTTCCTGCTCGTCATCTCATTCTGGGGTATCAAGGATGAGGCGGACGGGCGCCTGGAGTTGTCGTCTGTGGTGCCACTGCCGTTGGTGCACGAAGTCCGGGGTATCCGGGGAGAGGAAGTGCCTGGCGCAGCACCGAAGTCGTTGAGGGAACTCTGAATAGCAGACACAGTGGTCACATTGGAAGCAACTGAAGAGGCATCACTCCCAGAGGAGCCAGGTCGTTCTAGTTCGTCGTCAAAGGATGGGCGCGGTGGAGCTGGGGATCGGGAGGTGGTCCGCTCAGGTGGGATTGGAGAGCGTAACATCATAGAGGGCGTGTCCGGAATGAGACAAGACAAGTCGTGTTTAGTCAGTAAGCAATTTGGGCATCACAGATGTGCCCCCATGACCACTTTTGGATGTAGTTTTCATTCCCGATCTTTCTAGTCCTTGATATATGTAGGTACCAAGTCCAGATCAGCACCAAGAAACGAGGGACAATGCCTATCATCGTCGATCTCAACGTCGACTGGGCCTGAGCTGCACTTGAAACAACGCCGCCTTCTTATGCTGGCCCCGCCTGCCCAGCAACTCACCTTTTGAATTTCCACCATTTTGCAACCTCACAGTTCAAGGTTCTTGTTGAATTGAACTTTGTCTCCACCAACGTTCTTTTTTTGAAATACACATCAAGATAGACATCTCCAATTTGTTTGCATTATCATCATCATGGCGTCCACCAGTTCTTCTCAGCAAGTCCTCCGCGCTGTCTACGAATCTCCTCAGCCATTGACACGCACATTCGAATATCAGCTTTCCTCCCCCATCGCTTCTTCCAATGCCTCAGCCGAAAACACGAAAGTTAAGGTGGCTTATCTTTCCGAGCTCAGAAGTCTGGTACCGAAGTTGCAAGGGGAAGTCAATGTCTTTTTAACAGAGCGAATGGAAGAAGATAAGAAGGAAGCGGAAGCGCAAGGACGTCAGTTGTCTGCGAATGAAGCCAAGGAAGAGGAGAATTACGGTGAGGAGGTGGTCGAGGAGGATACTTAAAGCTTTTCTTGCATAAAACAGTACATTGGTTCGTGGCATCGGGAATGGATCTCATCGCCAGACCCAATCTTCCGTTCTGCTACACAACGAGACCGAACCACGACGCTGCCGATCAATTCAAATTCAATCGAATCCTTGGACATTCATGCTATCCTGGGGTATCACATTGCCTGAAGCTCCCGCCATATTATTCACATATCCACGCTTCGCATTGAACTGAGACACACCAGAAAGGAAGAACAAGAGAAAAAGGAGTTAGATGCGGGAAGACAACATCAACTCTCGAGTATACAGTAGAAAAGAATTAGGGAGAGAGGGAAGCTTTGCGATTGGCACAGCCAAGATGGACAACAGTATTGCTATGAAAGTCAGTGAGAGTCTGTGGAAGACGGATGGGAAGCCACCACAATGCTCGATGGACTGAGCGACTTACTCTGGGAAGACATTGATCACACTCCCACCAAGTCGCTTATGGCAGATCCCACAGATCCTTTCTTCTGTGATCGTGACATGCCTCGACCTGGACGCCTTCCCGTCGCCACCTTCGCCGACCAAGAGCTGCGCTTGCGTCTTGATACTTTGCGACTTTTGCAGGTTGGCCACAATTCTGGACTCATTGAGTATAGAAGTTGCCGCCCGCATACGACCTTTGAAATAGAATTCCAGCTCCTTGACTGGCAGTGTTTCCGGGATTAGTTCAAGGGCCGAGTTTGGAGGGAGGCGGGATCCATGTTTTGCGAGCACCTCTAGCGCGGGTCCATATCGTGGTTTGTATCCATGCGGCGGAGACAAGTAAAGAGATAAAAGTGTTAGGTATATGGAAGGCTTTTCTCCCTCAAAATCCGGAAGGGCTATATTTTGTATAGATGTGGTCTCTGTGCTCGTGGCGTCTTCAGTCTTGTGAAGGTGATTGCAGTACCTGCGGACGAGAACTTAGCAATGGCCTTGCTAGGCTCATATGTAGTAAGGACTGACTCTTCTGCTTTGGTATAGTCTTCCAGTTTGAACACATATATCTCTAGCGCTTGTCTGTGTTGTCCCATCTTACTGAAAACGATCGCTCTCGCCTCAAAAAACTCGGGATCTGTAAAGATAAGTCAGACCAACGTATGTACCCTGGCCAACAATTGGCAAGCCCTGGACTTACCATCTCGGTTCAGACGGTCAAGAATCTTCGCCGGCGAGTACTGAGAACTTGTCCTTAGCATATCCAGCAGCTTGTTCCGCCAATCAGTCCTGTCTTCTTCACTGGCGAACTCCCATTCTTTGTTCTTTTGTTCCTCCAAGCGATCCAGATAAAGGCTCAGAAGGCTCTGGTGGAGATCCGGGGTCATGTCATTCAATTCTCCAATGACATGCTCAAGATACCGAACAGCCAGGCGGACATCAATCGCTTT